GGCTGTGCTTTGGGCACTAGATCTCTGCACACTGGTGTAAGTACAGCAAGTAATACTGTACCTTGGTTGGAGTCCTCCACCTTTCTCAGCTGGTGCCTAGCATGTCCTGAGATCACTCTTTGATTTTATCCTATGTTGGAGCCTCTGTTTCTTCAATCCTTCAGTTTCCTTAAACATGTCCTCCAGTAGTTTCCAAAGAAAACTTAAGAAAGATAACATTTTTGGTTTGTTTCTTGACTTTAAAGTTTGTGAAAGTCAAATGTATGTCTAAAATGAATACTCACCGTTGACAAGAATTGGACACTGGCATAAGTTTTTCCTTAGCATTTTGCAGCCATTAATTCTGCTTCCTAGCCAAGTGTCTAAGGCCATTTTGATCCTAATTGCTTTGTACATGAACTCTGGGGTTCTCTCTAAAATTGCCTAGGATCTTTTTCTCTCAATAGGAGTCTGTGATGTGCATATTTTTGCATTTCTACAGTTGTGGACATCTCACATTTGCATTTGTGGAGCAACTAATGCCCTCCATCAGCAAGAACTATGTTTCATACAATTCTGGGAATTCTTGGTTTCAATGACATCAAACAGCTCAACTGCTACAGCATGCATGCTATAAATTTACCACCACTGTTCTAATTCTTTCTTTTATTATTTCTTCCTCTTTCGTTTGTCTTATTCAATTTTCTTCTTTCATAAATGTGCATTAACTTAATTTGCACTTCCTGAGCCCACTTTTCAATTTTTTGCCTATTCTAAACTTTACCATCTTTTTGCTAAGTTTTCTTGTTTTCCTGAAAATATTTTCAACTTTCACTTCCAGTATGCTCCTTAAAATCCTTGTTTTTGAAACAGTACATATGAATGTCTTTTTCCTGTCAATTTAAGATATTTCTCTCACAAAATTTTCAACCATGTTTTCCCTTTTAGTTAAGGAGATTTTCAAAGATGTATGGATATGAAAAGATATACATCAATAAAGGTCATAGAAAGGACAATGAAGTATCACTTCATACCTGTTAGGATACTTATTATCAAAAGAAAAAGTGTTGCTGAGGATATGGAGAAATTATAACGCTTGTACCCTCCCTAATAGAAGATAGTGTAGCAATGTTGGAAAACAGCATGAAGGATCCCTCAAAAATTTGAAACCAGGCAGGCATAGTGGTGTGTATGTGTAATCCTAGCACTCAGGAGGCTGAGGCAGAAGGGCTTCTGCAAATGTGAGGCCAACCTGGGGTATAAAATTAGTTCAAGGACAGCCTGAACTGTATAGTGAAACTCTGTCTCAAAAAGATTTTAAAAAATTAAAATAGGACTATCACATGATCCAGCAATTGTTTTCCTCTGATGATCTTAAATTTGCTTCATTGCATCCTGCATAAGTCCTTTCCTTCCTTAACTCTTTTCCTTTTATTTATTTTTGACCTCCTAGTGTGAGGTTCTCCCTAAATGTCTGATGGCAGAGTCTAAACATAGTTAAGATGATTACAAGTTCAGTATATGGGAGAAGGAATTATAGCATTTACAGCCAGACAAACAGGTTGTGATAGTTAAATACTGCATCAGCTTGTATACACAGGAATGCATGGCTGATTGGCTAAGCACACTTCTGAGTGTGACTGAATGCTGGACTGACTGCAGAGGGAGACCCACCCTCACCCTGGATGTGTGTGGCACCAACCAATAGGCTTCCAGCTTGCATAGACTCAAAAAGGAAGGAAGATGTCATGCTTGGGTTGGGTTTCTTTGAAAGAACGTTAGCTTTCAGCATCACCTTTGGACTTCTTTCTTGAGCCTTTCACCTCAGACTCTTCATCCTTCCAGTGCTGACCCTTGGACTTCCCCATACAGATGCCAGCAGGACTCCTGTGAGCTCCAGGTCTTCTATCTTTGACTAGATCCTCTGGCTCTCCACCTCTCAGACACACCTTTGCTCTCTTCCACATCTGATTCCACAGGTGGCCACTGCAGTCCTACCTTCTAAGAAATCTGTTTCTCTAGTGAACTCTAAGTGATACACTGATGCACAGGTCCCTGGTTTTTCCTGGTTTGAGTGTGAGGGGCTTCAAATATTTCACTGAGATGTTACTCACTTTTTAAAATTTAATCACTCAACCTATCCAAATTAAAATTTTCTAGGTTTCTGTTTGTGGAGGGATGGGTTTTACATCTGGGTACAGAACAGAATTTTCTGGGTCTCGCACTCCTTTTTGTTACCCAGCATGGCATCTCAACCTTCCCTTGCTTGTATTAGTTGTCAAGTCTTTTTAACTTTGTTCTGCAGAGAAAAGATTGGTGACCCTATCAGGCCTTATGGAATGCAGAAGAATGCAAGAGATATAGGAGTGTGCTAGAATCCTGAAGAATCCAGCCAAGGTCCTGAATCCCAAGGCAATGTGCTGCACAAGTCTAGCCTGAGGCCTACAGTCCATGGCAATGCCTCATACAAGTTCATATAAAGGATCTGCACTGGGAAGGCCGACAGGCCAGAGGTGGAAGCTAAAACATCTGTAGTCTTGGGGCCAAGGATCCGGCAGGCTAAGGAAGCCTACACTGGAGCTGGGAAGTGACACTCAAAGCAAAGATCAGAGCTCCTCTGACACTGACAACACCTGAGATCGTATCAGAAACACCAGTAGTGGTAAACTTCTCCAGGAGAATCAGCAGCATGCAATCTCCCCTGCAAATTCTATTTTTATGACATTCACAACAATTCTCAGCCTTCCATGCCCAGAACCACTCTGACTCAGTTCACCTGGGCATTCCCACTTAAACTGACAATTAATCCACTGCAAGCAGTATGAAAATATTCATCCAGTTTCTTCACACAGGAATGCAATGGAGCACTCAATCTAGGTAGATGCATATTGCAACAAGTGAAGATAAATCCTAGGGAACAGATGTGTATAAAGTGGCCCCTCATTCATTGCATTATAAGCATAACATTTTCTTCACATATAGAGTATAAGATAATGTGTCCTTTTTCCATCAATGTTTGATTTCATATATTGTTACCCAAATTCTCTAAAGTTTAAATAGTTATATCCTACTGCTGGAAATTTTTAAATGTGAGAGAACTGTTCTGAAAGAACATGAATGAAGTTACAGATAGAAAAAGAAATTCTAGTCACTGTTGTCAGTTACTGATTAGTGCGTAATACACATAAACTAAAAATTAAACTATTAGAAGATCAATTCCCTCTGCAAATAGAACTGCAAATAGCAGGCTATAAGCAGAGGGCCTTAGAACTGTGAGATTCCCTCAGTGAATCGGGACCAGTCTCATTCCAATCCCAAAACACAAAGAATATAGAACATATAATTATACTTGTATTTGGCTGCTTTCAACTTGTGTTATTCTCCTTGGCATAAGACTGTTTAAGAGATAGAACGATTTTAGTCTTTCATTTACTTAAGGTGTTAAAAATTGGCCCAGTTTTTAGACCTGGGACTATAGAAGGAAGCCTAGATTAGCTTTGTTGTTCAATGCTCTTTTGTTAGAAAATAAAGGTTTGCATTCTACTTATCCAAACAGATACTAGGTACATTCTTGGCATTCAACTATGCCCACATCTTTCAGTAAGGAAGAACAATGAGGAATCAAATTTGCTGATGCTCTCATTACAAAAGTAATGTTTTCCCTGAGATAAAGCATTTTGATGTTAGCAACAAGTTTCTTACATACCTACATACATTTATATAAAAACAAGGCCTTTGGGGCTGAGGATTTAGCTCAGCGGCATAAGCGCCTGCTTTGCAAGTAAGCAGTCATGAGTTCGACTCCTAGTACCAATAAAAAAAAAAAAAATAACAAGGCCTTCACCGCAGGGTACCATAACCGAGTTCAGATGAATGGAAGTTATGTACAAACCATAAAGAATAGAGAAAATGAAATTACTCCCCAAGACCATTGTTTTGGAGCTGGTGATGAGGGACACCGAACTTTTAGTTTTTAAATTATCATATAATATTTTTTTTTGGATCATGGTAACTAATAGACCTCTCAAGTTTAGTTCTAATGCCATAGGCTATCCTAAAACATTGTGTTTTTTTCTCAAGATCAGATTAGTGCAAAACCCTATGAAGCTACTTTCCAAATACACTGCTGTCCTTGCAGTGAAGTGGCCTCGGACAGAATCAGAAGAGGAAGTTTTCTTTAAGCTCATTTTTGTAATCCAAGCTTTAATGCCTTTATACTCTGAGAGTTTCAACCTTGCAGATTGGAAAAAAATAAAAAAAAGCAAACCTTAACTTTTTTTTATAAAGCTCAGGCTTATATGATATAGTATGTTTTGTCCCTGTTGAAGATTATTCTTGAAAATCAAAATGATCCCTGCAGGAAAAATACAAAAAAGTAGAAAACTTTGAACCAGTGTTTATACCTTCTGCTGGAAAATATTTTACATCATAATTTCTACAAAATTTTATTCAGACCTCTGTGGGAAAATATAATAGATGATAAGCAACAGCTTAAATAGAAAGGTAACTGTTTGCCATGTGAAGGTAGGCTCTTGGAAATTGGAAAAGGGACTGGAGGAAGGTTGGAAAGATTGAAAATGACCCAGATATGTTGTATTCATGTACTAATTCTCCAAAACGAGGATTGTTCTTCTGCATTATAAACACCTATACATGCATTAGTTTAAAAAAAGGAAGAAACATAAAGTGATATGAATTCAAGTCACTAAAATAGTCAGTATATAACTTTCACCTTCTAGAAACTCCACGAAATATATGAAAATCTTATTTTAATCAAGTCAGTCTCCAGAAACATAGTGATATTTAAGAACTTTGCCCTCTGATGCTGTATTCAAGCTGCCAAATGCAGAAGAATTCTGTGTGAGAACAAAATGTCCACGAGGTTAACCTGATACTCCAAAGTATCCCACCTTGACTCCGGGATGGAGAGTTCTGACAAGACTCACTCTGGCCCTTTTCCTTCATGACTAGACAGTGTTAAAGGAATCAAGTCACAGACACAGATAGATTTCCTACCTGCAGGTTTCTGCCAAGAGTCCAGGCTGCTTCCACTTTGTGAAAGACAGACATCTATCTCAGCAAAGTCCCAAGCTATCCATTTGCAGGCAATGTGCTTTTCAGTTGATTTTAGTTCTATGTGCTCCACCTTGCCAAAGAAACACAAATCCAGGAAAGTAATGACTACACGAAACAAGATGCCACAGAAGTTAATACAGATATTTAATGTTTTATGCAATGATACTGAACAGTTGATTAAACAACACACAGGGCCCTCTCAGGGGTGTGTACCAGGCCCTGAGCTCTGATGCCTGCAGAGGTCTCCCACTCTCTCTGTGCCTCACTTTCCTGAAAAAAGGAGGTAAATTTAGAGTCAGTCTTTGGGGTTACTAAGGGAAGAGAGGAGACACTACTGTGGAAGATTCAGTTAAAATATTCCCAGTACCTTAAAGATTTGGGGGTTATAACTATGGTAACTATGATTAGTATTTTTTTTTACCCAACAGCATTTATGAAGTCATGTGTGAGAAAGGAAGTGAGTCAGAGCCTACCTTGCTCATGTTCCCTAAATTCCTCACAGCTGAGCGATTTTTGCCCATGGGTCCATCTCCTCTCAGGATTTCCCATCTTTCCCATTTCCTGTCCAAGCCTGGGCTTCCTCCTCTACCAGGTTTACCCTCACAATCAAAAAGTACCTTTTTCCTTCCAAATTAATCATATCTCGCATTTCAGATAAATTATCTGTGTGTTGTCTGCAAAGCTGAAATAAGGCTTCATTCTTTCAGGAGGTAGTTATTTATAATTTTCTCAGTTCTCCATCTGTTGAGACCTTACATCTGCGCATGCCAGTGTCTCAAACTACCCTCCCTTTATTTATCTCTTTATTTTTCAAGATACATCTTTCCTCTCCAGTATTCCAGGATGCTCCTGGCAAATTCAGTCACTTCCTGTACTTTTACCTAGCCTTTTATTTTGCATTCAAAGTCATAGTATTTATAATTTCGTAGGTTAACATATGTGTCTCACGCAAAAAGTCACGCGGGGATTTTCTCAGGATTCTGGTGAATGGGAGGTCGAAGGCCCCTGCTCTGGCAGATTCCATGTGTGAATGGCTGCCCTCTGCCTCCAATATGGTGTCTTATTTCTTGATCCTCCAGAAAGGAGGAAGGAGGTATCCTTACGCTGTGGAAAGCAGAAGAGCAAGAAGGCCAAGTACTGTGTGAAGCCCCTCAAGTAAGGGGCTTAACTTAATCCCACAGATCAGAGAGGAGCCTCATGAACAAATTTCCTCCTAGAGGAACCACATCCTGATACTGTCACACCAGCCATTGAGTTTCAACACCAGCGTTTCAGAGAGCGTACATGTTCACCTCCGAGCAGCTCCTAAAACTGCTGCTCCTCCAGCAGTTGGCTGTGGGCTGAGGGTACTTGGTGTGGGAAAAGCTCAGAGATAAAAATTGTGTGCCACTAATAAGATGTTCCACGGATAGTTGTGCATGGACAACTATAACCTAAGAAAAGCAAGTCACCAACCCTCAAGATTTTATTGCCCAAAGTGAAGTTTCCTAAATGTACCTTTTGCTACTACAGTCACAGACAGGAAATTACAGTATGGATTTTTCCACTGATCATATGGATTTTAGATTGCTGGATAATTTACATATATAATTTTTAATTATGCTCAGTAGAGTTAAAACAAAGAGTAAATTTTAGTATATTTATTTTCAAGTAAATATATAACTATTCAAAGGAAAACCAAACACTTTTTTAAAAGGATATGCATAATCTTGCAGGTAAGGGATTCATCTTGTTATTATGAAGATATTAAGCATTATTTAGTACATCAGAAAATTTGGAATAGTAATGACATATCATTACAGTTATTTTATGGAAATGAAAAGCTTTTAAGTGTGAATAACTTTGAAAACAAAAAAATATATATGAAAGATAAATGGTGTTGATTGTGACATATTTTGTATTCAAACATCTTCTTTTGAAAATCAAATTCAAATCTAAACATTTCATTTTACTTTGTGACTACATGCAGGGAATGTCTAGGCTACATGCCTTGTGTATTTTATTTTTATTTGCTTAATGACCATCAGAGACATTTTGGCTCTTCTCTGTAAACACTAATAATTTTTGGCCAACCAGTCTAAGACACGTCATAGCAAATTTATGTAATTACTTGAATTCATTTCCACAATAATCTCTATTTTTAAATTGAAAAACACAAGTACTAATTTATATGCTTAAGTGCGACGATTTTATTCAAGCATAACATTGTACAATGATGAAATTAGGGCACCTAGCATATCTACCATCTTAAATGTATATTATTTGTGATAAAACATTAAAAATACTTCATTCTTGCTATTTTAAAATATGAAATTTTTGTTAGCGAGAGTCACCCTACAGAACAGGAATCCACTCTTCTATTCAACTGTCACTTTGTATCCATTCACCAACTTCCAATCATCCTCTTCCATAGTAGACTCTGATAACCACTCACAGAATCAATTTATTAGTATGCAAGGAATTTTTTGAAATTATCGGCACACTAAGGTGGACCTTTTTCACGTCAGCTCAGTTGTTGTTACAGAATCAGCACATGTTCCCAGCCACAGCGTTTTTATCAGGCTCTGTGATGCAATCTGATGCATTGCTGTGTCTCTTTGAGAATTGAGAATTTCTGCCTGGTAGATTACAGTGCTCACGATCAGGCTGTTTCATTGTGGGAGCTCTTTTCCACTCCCCATATCACACACTGGCCATGTTCCTTGCCTTTGTTCAGCAGACCAAATCCTCTTCTGGCACACACTGCACAAGAGCTGGGTACGGAGTGCTGTGCCAGCCAGCCCGGCCTGGGCTCTGTCTCCGATGTGCGCTGTGCTCATCTGCAGGCAGACCGTGTGTCAAAAGAGGCTGAGTGGAGGAATAAGCGGTATCTATGCACAGTTTCTGCATGTAGCAGAAGAAGCTCTCCAGTGTGCATCCTGCTGGAGATTTTTGAGGGTCATTTCCAAGTATACCCACTACAGCATGCAAGATTCAAATACAGATTTGCTCGTTACCAAGTAGCCCATTTTAAAAATGTATACCCAGTAATGTGAGGGAAAAAAAACTACGTTAAACAATATATGAAGTCCTATGAACATAAGGATGAAAATTCACGAATCATCCTTTTTTTTTGAACTGAGGATTGAACTCACAACCTCACACATGCCAGGCAGGTGCTTGTGCTGCTGAGCTAAATTCGAAGCCCTCAGGCACATTCTTAGACATATCTCTTAGAGTTGCCATGGGCATATTCATTCTCCAGCCCTTCCCCACCATGAATCTCAGACCATGTGAATGAACACTTGCCCCTGAGCAGACCACTTTGAATATTTACCCTTGTCCTTGGAAATTACATTGTAACCAATGGACTACCCTAACTTAAAATACTAAGTGTTTTGCATTGAATGGAATTTTTTGTTAAAACATTTTGTTGTTAATTTTTGTTCTAAATTTCCTTAATGGTCACCTTCCTTCAGAATCATTTATTTTTGTAATCAGTCAGTCAAGAAATTTGAGTATTTATTGAACCAGATACTCATGTAGGTGCTGGCCACCAAATAGCCTCCACCTGTTAAACTTCAGTGTTGACCTTGTTAACACACAGATTCTGATTCAGAAAATCAGGGTTGGGCTCAAATCCTGCATTTCCAAGAAGCTTCTTCACTGGTTCCAGAACCACCTAACTGGCTGCAAGAATTTAAAATACACAAAAGATGAAGCAAAGCGACCCGTATTAATTCAGTCTTCATAAGATAATGGTGCTACCTCTAAACTTGGTAAGGTTTTTAACTAAAGTTGGGATTTTCTATGCATAATGAACTAACTAGAGATAATTATTGAAAGGCAAGCTGCATGAAATTAACAAAACAAAGTTTTATTTTTAGACTTCACACAATCATTATCTAAATATGATAAACTAACACCCAGTGAAAGTCTTTTTACACTTGATTACATGACAGGAGAAGGCTTATTACTAACTTATATTCAGTCATATTTTAGTTCAATTTTATTTGCAAGCTACAAACTTTGAATGGTTTTTGAAACAATTAAGTCGTATTTTTTTCTTAAAAATCATATATAGTTATTGAGAAAGTTTTTCTATTGGCATACATGGAAAAATCATTGTGTTTTTGAAATTGCTCTTTGAAAGCACAAATTCACCTGCCAGAAGTTTCACGAGTAAAGTTTTTCCATTTGATAGTGAGATCTGGCACACAAGATGCCAGAGAAGATAGGGTGGAAAGATTGAGGGGGTCCCTAACTCATTCTTTAAATCTACAAGCCTGGAGAAGATTCTGATCAGCATTTAAACAACCCTAGAATGGGAGCCGATAAAAAGAAAAAGAGCGATTGCTGTTTGTTTCCAGCCTACCATGGACTCCTCTGTGACTCCCCTCTGCCATGCCATGCTGCCTTGAAGCCAGTTCACTATGGAGTGAAACCTCCACAAACTGAGAGCCGAGATAAACCTTTCCTCTTTTAATGCATGGGTGTCAGGTATTTTCTCCCAGCAATAAGAAATTAACTAACATGTATCTGACATGTAAAGTAAGAAAATATTTCTAGATTTTAGTATTTTAAAAGCTGCATAATGTTATAAATTGAAGCCTATACCTCAGAAGTTTCCACAAAATATTTTCACATTGTCTTTGCACTGAATATATTGTTTTCCAGTTTATTTTCTATGTTCAAATAATACCTAAAACTTTTCACACACCAAATTTGGAATTATACTTGAACATATTAAGAATATAGATGGCCACTGAGTCAAAAATGTGCTGTCTCTTCATTAATGCCTGTGTTAGTGCATCAAATTGTATCTCAGAGGCACACACCCAGTAAATATACTCTTCAAATTCCTCCCCGCCATGTCTCTGTCCCTCTTTGTCTCTCTCTGTCCCTCTCTCTGTTTCTGTCTCTCTCTGTCTCTGTCTGTGTGTCTCTCTCTCTCACTCTCTCTCTCTTGCTGTGTGTGTGTGTGATAGAATTAAAAATCTCCTCCAAGACCAGACTTTCCCAATACAATGTGAAGCACAGCCATGCTTGCCACCCCTCTGCAAATGTTTAGCAAATTTGCTTAATGTGTGAGAACGATTGTAAGATATGCTAAAAATGATCTGCCCACATGTTTGTGCATTCATCCTTATGGGAGAAAAGTAGCCATACATTCTTAGCCAGCCTCTTCAATTTCCCTGTGAGAATTCCCTTGTGCTGTGGACTTATTCAAAGCCAGCAGGATCACTTTACAGAGTTTGTCATTGTATTCCAGGAAAACCTGTGGATATGTTACAGAAATAAGCTACAAATGGGAACCTGGCCTGCTCTCTCTCTCTCTCTCTCTCTCTCTCTCTCTCTCTCTCTGTGTGTGTGTGTGTGTCTGTCTGTCTCTCTCTCTCTCTCTCTCTCTCTCTCTCTCTCTCTCACACACACACACACACACACACACACACACACACACAGCATTTCCCCTTCAGAGCTTCATGTGTTCTGCATCACATAGACCATTCATTGTATCTGAGACATTTTAGAAACACAATCACAAATATACCCCAGCTAATAGTAACAACTAATAATTCTGTCTCGCAGTAGTTATAGCTCATAATGAGCATTAGCATCCATTAATATTGTGCCAGGGACCTTCTGTAAGCTTTATATACACTGACTCATTAATTTCTCACCACAGCCCACATGGTGGATGCTGTCACTGTGCCCATTTAATAGATGAGGACCCAGAAGCAGGAAGGGGTCTTGAGCCTGCCAGACACATAAGTGGAGCCCAAGAGCCACTGGTTCTCTAGCATCAGAGTCCTGGATTTTGTCTTCTTCTCTGAATCCTTTTCATGACTGCCCTGGACAACCTTACTCTCCACACTGAATGTGAATGAATCAAGAAGAAATATAGGTGGGGATTATTCAAATTTAAATTAATTTTAAACTCTTTCAACTTGCTATTTAGAGTCAGTGATATCCCAACAAATTCCCAGCAAATGGCCCAGTAAGTACTAGAAGTCTGTTTTGAAAGTTCATAAGTCAAGCACACAAAATAGTCAGAAGAATACAGTAGGAGAACTAACAGCACACCTCTTCAGGAGTATCCATAAAGTAATGGGGATCAAGACTCAGAGATGATGGAGAAACGAAGCACATCCATGGAAGGGAAATGGACCCACATAACATGACCAGCTGCTCCATACTGGAGAGAAAAGAAAGTAACACAGTGAACAAATGATGCTGTAATATCCAAGTACCCTCCCCAATAAACAGACCAAACACACAAGGAAAGACAGACACAGAAAGGAGAGAAAAAGAGAAACAAAAACATTAAATAATGGTTCAAAACTCTAACATCTGATGTAAAGTATTAGTTTATAAATTTCCTCTCTTAAAATAAAAATGCATTAATTCCCAAACACAGCACAATCAAACTGTGTGAAAAGTCAGAAAATCTTAAAAGCAGCAGAGAAAATGTTTTCTTTGTATTCTAGGAGACTGAACTAAGTTAATTATTGACTTGTATTCAGAAACAGTGGGGCAAAGATGATCAGGTAGCATTACTCAAAGAGGTTAATGGGAAAATAATTTCAACAACTAACTCCATCTCCAGAAATTCTGTCCTTTAATAATGAGGAAACAGCAAGCATATTCAGAACAACACACCTGAGATAATTTGCTGCCAGCAGTAACATTTTAACTTTGAATGGCAAATATTTGAAATGAAAGCATTTGAAGGTCAATAAATGTTCGTTATCAGATTTATTGAAGAACATATACATATATGTGTGTGTGTACACATGTAAAATGTCATTGAATGTCTACAATGTATTTTTCATTGATTTCAGTAACAAAAGCACTCCAACTATAGAAAAATATATTTCATTCTTATACTTATTTCATCTGGTAAATTAGCAATAATGCGCTAATTTAGTTGTTTTCTGAGAAAGGGTCAAGAATCACTACCTGAAGGCTGGATAATGAATTTAAAAATGATATAAAAATAGTATTCAAAACTCAAAATGATAAACGAAATTTCAGTTCTATCCGAGTTTATGCAAGGCAAGAGAGAAACTTGGAATTGCAGAAACAGTAGTTCCTGACTGTGGTAATTTCTGAGAAATATCAAGATGTCAGACACAATGCCACATTTTCTGTATCTATGAAAGCAGTACAGCTCAGGCAGACATCCTCAAGGAAGCAACAATGCCTGAGTTCAAGGGGAGACCCTGCCAGGTTACATAGATGCTGCAGGAAGGAGGGGTCTGACCCCCCTGGCAGGTACAGATTCTGTTGAGGCTAGGGGGGATGGGAGCAATGTGGCTGAGCCGTTTTGACAGTTGCCCTCCCCCACCCCAGGAGCCCTTTGGAGGAGGAGCCCAGAGTTATGAGGGACCCTGGCCCCGCCCCCTGGTCTCCCAGGGAACCCTCAGAGATCAGTTGCCTTTGAGTAACACTACAGTGCAGAGAACCATGAAGTTTCTCTTTCTTTTAAAATATTTTCAAGATACATGGATGAGCCCCATTTCCACTACCTGGGTAACAGATCTTACTCTTGCCTTTGCGTATGGACTGGTGCACTTCAGCCTATTAATTTCTCATATCCGGATTATTCAGTCTACTCCATTAACTGGGAAAAAAAAACATCAAAGAGGTAAGAAACACTTGGTTAACCCTACAGCCAGTGATTCTGCCATTATTTTTCCTATTCTTTCTATTTTTCTAAATCAAATAGAGAAACTTATGATGGGGGAAACTCAGGAATGATTAGGACCCCATTCTTTTGGGACAGATCACAGAGGGGTGAGACTCTCAGACCCCATGTGTGTATACAGAAGGTGCTGAGTTAAAGTTAAACACTGTGACTTGTGGTTGAGGGTGGGTTCCCGGGAGGGCTGAGGACCTCTAGAAAGCACAGGCTCACACTTCTTGATAGATTCCTGCTCCATAGCAGGTGCCTCTGGGCCCGCCACTCTGATCTGAGGGGCAAACTGAGCCCCTGAGGGACTCTACCAAGCACTGGATTTGGCTCTGGCTTCAGGAGGCAGAATCATACCTGACAGGCACAAGGAAACAGCTTGTGCTTCCTGAGCAGAGGACCTGGGACTGAAGACACCCACTGGTAGACCTCACAGAGAAAGTCTATTGTAATTTTCAAAGGAGGAAAAAAGAAAACATTGTTAGCCACTTTAGAAATGAGCCTTTTGTGAAAAGTAGAAAACCACACTGTTCAGGAATTGGTCTGAAGGGTCTAGGGAACCAAACAGGGGAACGGGGCCAAAGCTGCTCTTGCTTCTTTTCTCACAGCAACACAGGCAGAAGAGATGGATCAAGAGCACAAAGCACAGCTGTGCTCTGAAAGGTAAGACTCTGTCTTGTGCTCACCTGTCCCTGAGCCATCGGAGCCACATCTCTGACGACGGGGTGGGGGTGGGGGACGATGGGGCCTGTGAGGGGCCTGAGAGGGAGGCTCATGGGAAGGAAATGTGAATGGAGAATATTTCTCAGGCTTGTAATGAAGTTGTGACTGGCCAGAGGGTTGGGGGATATAAGACAGGAGACAGTGTAAGTGGCGATGGAGCAGTACTGCCTGAATTTGGGGGGGGGACCTACTGTTCCAAGTGTGGACAGCTGCCTCCCTTCACTAGAGTGGACTTTTCCTTTCTTCTTCCCAAAGGGGGCTCTGGAGCCCTTGGGGTTGGTGGATGTGGAGCCCCTCCTGTGCCTTTTCTCAGGGGACATGTGGCCTTGGACATTGGACTGGTCTCTAGTTCTAATCTTCTGTGATGTCCTCTTAGGAACATCTTACTCAAGAATCTCTCGCCTGTGTCATGACCCAGTTTCTATTCGTGGCTGGGACAGCCTGAATGAAATCATGGCACCTCAGAAACCTGCTGTACTTCTACGATGGTGAGAGACTTTCTACTTCTGGGTTCTCCTTCCTATCAGAGCACTGGAGGGACTGGGTTCATAGGCAGAGGGAAGATGCCCGGCTACAGTGACTTGGGATTAAAACTCTTGGGGGATGGCTTTCTGAAGTTGGGGGAACAGAGGGATGGCTGTGGGACACAAATGAGTACTCCTGCCCGTCCTGCCCAGCCTCCTGGCTCAGTCTGCTTATGGTTAAATCCTATGCCTCCTGTTTCCTACAGCCAGCTACAGGAGTTGTGTGCCAAGGGAAGATTTCAGCAGTACTCAAATGGAGCCATCTTAGGTGAGGAGTTCACACCTGGGCTTGCCAGAGTCCACCAACCGTCCAGGCACTGTGTGGAAGATCCATCTCCTAGTACCATGTGTCTGCAGGCTTTCCTGGCTCCTGGGACCCTGAATCTTCTGGCTCTGGCTTCAAACCTAAATGTAGGAGCTCACAACAACTTGATGAGATTCCTAATGGGCACTGTCACAGACTTCCTGTCTTGGACAACTTGATAACTCTTACTTGGCATCTTCTCTCAGGGCCATTTCTGGCCCTGACCTATATCAATTTCTCCTTTTGTTCTTCTGTTGGTCATGTGCAAGTACTAACACCTTATTTTACTTCATTTGGGCACATGGAAAATTCCAGGAAGGATGTTATACACGCAGTCTACCAGAGTTTGTTGCTGGGGAGATCGTGTCACTCCAGGAGAGTGTCAGAGCCTGAGTCTTATCCAGTTTGACATCAACAACTTCCTATTGAAGATTGTCACTTACCAACTGAAAATAACTAGTGAGTCTACGATACTCCCTAAAATTGCTTGGAGTCATATTCAGATCACTGACAACATGCAGGGCACCATGAAACAATCCTTCTGGAACCAACAATGGCTTGTAGGCACTCAGCACCACTGTCATTGCTTGGGCTCAGGGAATCATTTAGATCAACGATATAGCCAGCTCTGTTGGAGTATAATGTGTCTGTATAGGAAGTTCCTAGAGCTACTACCTGGGCCTCTAATAGGCCATTTTCCTCAAAATCACAGAATTTTGAATTTCATGTGGTTCATACCAAATTCTTGCCACAATTTCATGCTGATGCATTTCCACAATTACCTCCAAATTTAACGTTACTGTTTAGTAACAACCAACACTGACTCTTCACCAAGAGCTTGTCCCCATCTAGAGGGTACCAACTAGAGGCTACTACCACAGTCTCTAAAAGGCTTTTTTCCTCACAACGTTGATGTTTTGAATTTCATGTGTTTCATACTGAATTCCTGCCACAATTTCAGGCTGATGCACTTCCACAATTACCTCCAAATTTGACCTTTTGTTTTCTGTGACAACCAACACCAACTTTTGACACACTTTGTATCTCCATCTCTGTCTCAGGGCAGATTCAAGCCCAAATTCCATGCTCTTTCCAAAAGCCAACATGTTGTTCCCCATCCCGCATTAGGATGTGTACAATAAACATTGCTACATCCCAGCTGAGGTGACAGTATGTCATCCCAAAGGAAAATTATTATCTCGAATGGTCCGTACGGAAACAGGGGGTAGGTTTACCTTTTCTACCCCAAAAATCTCAAAAAAACATTGGTTAACCACCTCGCAACCTTCCTCAGAGCAGCCAGGCCACCCAGACCCCTAAGTTAGCTTTGTCTTTCCTGAGGATTTTAACAGCCAGACAGGGCAGAAGCTAGTGCCCACACAGCCCTCAACACCTGCTTCTATAGGCAGCAGAAGTGTGCAGGAGACAAAGCCTGGTGCTCTGACAGTCTTTTAAAGAAAGGCTTGATTTCCTTCCAACTAAAAGCTGTAAGTGATGTTCTAGAGCAAGAGACAAAAGATCAAATGCAGTGTTTAGGAAAGACCTCCCACAATGTTCAGGAGGATGATAGCATGTATTCAGAAAGTGACTTCAAGAGCCCTGAGAAGAATGACTTAGGAATTTACAAGATTAGTAGTCTTGACCAAGAACACCTGCAAGAACATCTGATCAGGAAGTTGAAGCAACTGCGTGAGGGTCTCATGCCTATTTGTGTGTGAAAATCCTGGCTTGAAGCCACTCACATCTTGCCCATGTGCAATAAGCGTACAAAATCCAGAAACCCAGCACTTTCCAAGGGCCAGGAAACCCCTGTGGATACTTCTCAGGAGCTTCTCTTCCTGGACAATAAAACTAGCCTGTTACTTGAAGCACACAGTAAAAGTTCTTGGAGAAGGCGCAGGTGGGAGCAACACTCTCAGACCCCCACACCCACAAAGGTCCACAAAGGTAAGGCCCTAGCCTCACTCCCTGATCTGCCTACCTTTATCAGCACAGCCTCCTGGGACTCCAGGACCAACTTAATTGCTAAAGTTGGAATTGATGTTGAAGATCATGCTCAGACAATTCAAGAACAGGAGTTCACAGAAATCCCACTTGACACCCTGGACAGTCCCCTCCCTGCCTTTCAGATAAACATGAGGACATGCAGAGACCCTTCAGTGAGACCTTAGCTTGTTACAACAGGGAGGCCTCGATAGCCCTACCAACTATTCAGCAACCTGGCCATCGTTCTCCCAACTTCTTCCAAGTGCCTGGAGAAAATCTGGTCCAACAAAAGTACCTTAAGAACCAGACAAGGTACAATGGGTTACACTCCAAACTCAACAATGGCCAGCTATAAGCCACAGAAAGACAGCAAAGATAAGCTCTCAGAAGAAACTTGCCATAGTGTGGCAATGCAGGAGACCACAGTAGGGTGCCAACTCTCAATGGTCAACATGTCTGATCCAATCGAACAGTATACTGTGGTAAGCACAAAAAAGAAGAGCAGGAAGAGAGAGATGAGGGGAAGAGGGCTTCGCATGGTTTCCAGCCAAGCCCTCCCACCGAGATCATTGAAAACGACACCCTTGATAAGAAATTCTTCCTACACCTGGCTAAAAGGAAGAGGCCCCTCCACCCCTGAAAGAGAAAAAAAGCATGAAGCACTTCTTTAACTTTCATAAATGCAAGAAAAAAGATTTGAAGCTGGAGAGTTGAAGCAAAATAATAGGATCCTATCCATTACTGAACATTGGGAGGAGATCATCAAAAACCAGAGATACATAGAAGGTGAGAAGGATGCAGTCCAAATCGGGACAACTGAGGAAGAGATGCTCATGGACAAGCTAGAGGCCTGCCCTACAAGTCGTCCATCAAAGCTACAGAGGCAGAAACCTGTGAGTAAGAGTTCCTGCTATAACAGAATTACTTCCAGGCTATACAAAAAAGGAGAGAGAGGAGAGAGGCAGTTGATGATCAACAAGCCAGTGCTAAGTACCACAGTCCTATCAGCAGTGAGCCCTGCAACAAGGTCTGGTTCCTGAAGAGATAGCTCCTCCTCCCATCAGTTGCTTTAAGTGGAAGCCAGGAATGAAAGGTCATCTTTGCCATCACACTGCCTGCTGTCTTCACAAGATGCCTTATCCAGCCATTCAGATACACTCTCTCACACCATAACTTATAAGAAACCGTTTTCCATAACAATTTGAATACAGATAAAGTGTGTCTTCTGGAAGCATAGATTCTTTGCTAATGGCCTTACCTGATGAAGCATCTATTACTTCCTAATACATACTTTTCCTTAATGAATGTTGTGGCTTCTGTCTTTGTTCTGCTGGGGCATGGGAACCAGTCAGCCTCTGCTCCTCTTCAGCAGAGCTCCCCAAAGGGCCTTGGCCTGCAGAGAGATGACAGTGGCATTGAGGGCAAACCCACACCCTCACTTCCTTCCTTGACCTCAATGTTTATCATTCTGTCATTACACACACCAACGACGAAAAGCCCAGTACCTTCACATGTGACAGTGTGGGCACAGAAATGCTGGGAAGGTGATGTGGTGGCCCTGGGTTTAAAGATGTTGGAACTAGGAAACCAGTTTCCCTTGGGCTTCTTGATGGGTAAAAGTCACATTGGTCTTGTGATCCCCTGCTCTGCCTGATGGAGGCTGCAAGGGAATCTGCCCCACCCCCACACTCCTGCCCTGCCCTGACTCTCTTACTTCAGTCTTGATGACAGCAATGGCTGCGTGCTGCTTCTTCCAGCCTTGCTCTCTAGAGCTGCAGCCAGGGTGGAACTTGCAGGTCTGAATGCAGGACAACTCTGAGGGTCACATCAGCCTTGCCTGAGGTCACCAGCGTTTCCTCTGGGCATGGCTGTACGCATAGGAACCATTCCAAGATGCAGCAGGGTAAGGAGTAGGAGAACAACTGCAGAAGATTTAGCAAGGAAGGAGATAGTGGCAGGTGGGTGTCAAAGACTGCACGACTCAGAAAGTTTATGTTCACCTAGTGCCCTTACCAGCCTGGAGGTAGGGAGACCTAACAGACTGAGCTGCTTACCCAAGCCTCATTCCAGGTCTCTCCCCTGCATGGCTTTCAGGTCATAGTCCTGGGAAGTCCCATGAGGTCCAGTGTAGATAGATCCAAGAGGAAGCAACCCTGTAGACAAGATTACTCTAAACAGCATAATTCAAAAGTCTGCATGTTATTGCCTCTTGACATCCAAACAGGGCCAAGTGGCAAGCTCGAGAAAAAGCCAGATCCAGAGAATTCTAAATGTGATTTGTAGCCTAATATCCATTACACATTCATGTGACCCCTACACTTTTCCCAGGGAAGAAGTCAAGTTTGAAAATGACTAAGAGTTTGGCCAGGTCACAAAGCAAGTTCCTGGCTATAGTACTGACTTGCCCTATAGCTTGTCAGGATAAGATGCAATCAGATACAGGATTTGTAAGCACACTGGAAGTGATCTGTCCAACATTGAGGAGCTTCATGGTCGAGGGGTCAGGCCCCAGAAAGATACCTACTGCATCTCATTCTACTTCCAGCTAGGTTTCCTTTCCTGAGAACCCATCCTCATGGGAATGCAGGAGGGCCCCAAAAGAGGGAAGAGAAATACATCACTACTCTTCTGGTTGCTGTGATCAATTACCAGAGAGAAGAAATTGCAAAGAGGAAGGGCTTATTTGTTTCATGATTACATAGGTATCAATCCAAGATCAGCTGGGTCTACCAATCACGGTAGCCAGGCTTGGTAGAGGAGAAGTGCAGACCTTGTGGCTGCTGGGAATCGGAGAGAGTGAAAAGCATGAATGAAGAGGTCTAGTGACCTCACTGTCCAATTCACCCCTCTAGGTATTTCTTAATCCACTTACTCTGAGAACCAACATAACTGTCACAAGGAGCTACTTCTCCACTGTCCCATGCTATGCCACACAGGTGGCTCCAGTCCCGGTGCCTCAGTTTGTGTCCTGGTGGAGTCTCACAATAGGAAGTACCACTGAGGCAGACCACATGGTCATGGGCCAGGTCTTTGTAGTTCGTATGAGCCCTTAGACCTGTACTGAAGCAGGTTCTGCCAACTGAAGTCCTCGTCAGCATCCACTGTGGCCTACAATGAAGAGCAAAATGAGGGATCTCAGCCTGGCATTGCTGGGGCCCAACATGCAAATTCAGAAGGGGAATGGAATGTGGCCCCTAGCACTGCAGAGGAGAGCTTTTCCACTGAAGGCACTGCAGACAGGAGAAAAGGAGCAAGCTTCTGTCCCTGCTGCTTCCACAGGCCTAGTCCTCCATGATGGGCAGAGTCCACCAACAGACAGAATCTACAGAGAACTCAGTTGAGACCCCCTCACAGATCTGCTTAGATACCCACACTGCCAAATGCTCACAGAGATCTCCACAAGAGTCCCAACAGACACCACACCAAGGCACACCAGAAGTCCTCTCCTGAGACTCCAGATAGACCACTACAGAGAGTTCCACGAGCTCTCTGAGATTACTGGGGCATGAAGGTTTGACAGGAAACATAAAAGCAGAAATACACTCCAGTGTGCATTTGCCTTAGGAATTCAGTTGAGTTGGATGGAAGATTCACAGCCAAAATTTCCCAAGTGGTACTCATGGTCCTGACACTGACTTGTTCAGTGGCCTTGGCAAACTGCTAGGCCACGGTAGTTTCATTTCCTCCTCTGCAAAATTAACAGAATGCTCACCTGTAACCCAGATGTTGGCAGACATAATTGGCATCAGTATCTGTGTAAAGATGAAATGCTGTTTAACCAATAAATGCCAAGTAATCCAAATTTTTAATTCCCACTTTGCCAAAAAGAAAAAGAACACTGACTGACTGAGAGTTGGTCATATTAGGGATTCTTGAATCTCTCTTTGCAGTTCACTAAAATTGAGCAGTGGCAATTGTAATTATCAAAAATGTCACAAAGCTGTGTTTCTCTGCATAGAGTTCACCAAACATTGCACAGATTTCACTTGTGAAAGATTTTATTGCTGTGATCCAGGTGCAGGGACATATGCTTGTAACTCCAGCTCCTCAGGAGGCTGAAGCAAGAGGACAGCAAGTTCAAGGCTCACCTGGCAACTTTCTGAGATCCTGATTCAAAATAAAAGAGAAACAGTGCTAGGGGTGCAGAACACCCTTGTGTCCTGTCTTTAGTGTGACACACAAAGATGTAGAGCTGAGTATTAATGCCAGCTGCCTTACAGGGAGTGTTGTGAACCATGAGGACATTTTAAAGTTCAGCAGATCTACACGACTGTATATTTCTGAGAAAAATAGTTTTTCTGCTTTGCCTCACCACCTTATATCTAACAACATATGCAATTAATCATAATTTCCTTCATTTCTTTTAGTAAACATTTATTAGGTGTCTACTATGTGTGAGGCACAAGTAAGAACAAGTAAGCACTAAGGCTTGGTAAGCAAGACACAAATAATCCCTGGAATCATAAACCATACTCTAAAGTGGAATACAGATATTAAACAAGTATTTATAATCAGCTATTAAATCATCATGATGGAGAAAGTTCAGAGAGATCTAACATTTTATAGAAACCAGCGAATGTCTCTCCAAGGAGACGAATTTCAGCTTTGATTTTATGGTGGATAAGAGTGTTGTCCAGGCAAGAAAAATAGCATGTACGTTAAGCCATGAAAAAGTGAGAAGGTATAAAGTCCAATTTGGCTAGCTCGGCTGGTGAAGGAATGGAAGAAGAACCTTAGCCTAAGGAAATTTGGAAGTTATTGAAAGACTTAATGTCAGGATGTGGAGTGCTGGGATTCACCTCTTTCTTGTTAATCACTCTAACTAGAACTTTGAGACTGAATAGAAGGAGAGAACTAAGTAGGCACACGTCTAAGTCGGTAGTTCATATAAAGCTTTTCATCAGAGTTAGTGTGGGGCAGGATGAGCACAGTAGCAGAGACAGTGGAGAGAAACACAGATTTGACAGCTATCTGGAAAACAGAACTAGTCAAACGTAGACCTTAGTGGGCACTTTGGGCATGGAAAGTAGGGAAAGTGTGAGAAGAAAAAAAAAGGACTCAAGGAATACTGCCAGCGCTGGAGTCCTAATAGGGGATATTGAAAACATGAACCCAGCAAAGGGACTTTAGAGGTAAGTTTGTCTCAGGGAGAAGATGAGTGTCGTTTCAAACTTGTTAAGTTTGCAAGGCCTGAAAGACATCCTGCTGAAGACATCCGAGAGGTGAATTAACACCAAGATCATAAGAGCCTTCAAGATGGAGGTAAAGACTGAAGAATCTTTAATATATAGATGTGAACCTGTGCCTAACGGGTGAATGATAGTGCATCAGGAAAGGGTGTCAGTAAGAATCTAAGATCCTAGAGAGAGATGGAGAAACATTAATAGTGAGAGAGGAACATGTACTCTCCAGGAGACAGAACAAGTGGAGAAAACAGAAGCCAGGAAGAGAGTGTGAGAAGCAGTTTCCTCACACCCTCCTGGTGAGATAGCATCTACTGCAGGTGAACAGATTGAATGCATGGATGCTTTGAACTATAGTTTACCTCATCAGAAATCACTCTTCCTATGAGCACATATACACAAAATGCTCTAAGGAGTTCAATACATTTTGCATTAATGGCTGTAATAATTTAGGACTGAAAACAATCTAAATGGTGTACAACAGGAAGTGAGCCAGGAAAATTATAGTATAATCATACAAAGGAATACATTGCAGTATCTAAAATTGTCCTTTCATATTGGTTCCAAATATTGTCAAGCTACAATACTTCATGCATATTATATAATATATCTGAAATAAGTATTTATTTTTAGGTGGTGTATAATGTTAATGAAAGTGAGAAATAGAGACAGAAGTATAGACAGCCCTCGGTAGTAGTAACCATTAGAGGGATGTGGGCAGTGTGAACAGATGTTGGAGAAAGGGGAATTGAGGGGGGCTTGGTTGAGACAATTCATGAGTGTGCTCAGAAGCTGATGTGAACGTGTGTGTGGGGGAAGGCTGCACATAGAGCAGAGCATGAGTGAGGGCGGGAGCAGGCTGTGCAGAAGTGGGAGCTGAGATGCAGAGTGGGGAGGGGGACTGTCTCATGAAAGAGGATGGACCTGCAGCAAGTGCATGCAAAACCGGGTGTACATGCAGACGAGGTTTAGGGTTAGTGGTGAGCAATTAAAAAGCTACTATTTATATTAATTTTTATGAATTGTATGCACTTATGGGCTTGATCTTGGTATTTCCTTAGGTGACATTTATGGCTTCACTGTGCCACTAAAATCATATTCATTTTTAATTAAACCATTTACTCAAGTAATTGTTCTTCATCACATTCTGCTTGGTTTTAGGTTACCCGGTAAGTGCCAGCCTGAATTTATTTTTCTTGCAAACATACCT